GAATGTTTTTCGCGCGCGCGCGCGCGTGTGTATGTGTGTGCGCGCTCTTGTCTGTAATTGTATTTATGTATGTATGTATGGTGTGTGTGTGTGTGTGTGTTGTGTGTGTGTGTGTGTGTGTGTGTGTGGTGTGTGTGTGTGTGTGTGTGTGTGTTGTGTGTGTGTGTGTGTGTGTGTGTGTGTGTGTGTGTGTGTGTGTGTGTGTGTGTGGTGTGTGTGTGTGTGTGTGTGTGTGTGTGTGTGTGTGTGTAGAGAGAGAGAGAGAGAGAGAGAGAGAGAGAGAGAGAGAGAGAGAGAGAGAGAGAGAGAGAGAGAGAGAGAGAGAGAAGAGAAAACACGACAAATAACACAAACAGAAACACAACGACAACATCTGCACGGTTCATTCATGCATAAAGCGATTCAAAACATTCTCTCAGAAATCATCATTATTTCTCCATCGCTCGCTGTCTCGAATGTCTCCCACACACACACTTCTCTCAACCCAAAACCCGCGCTCTCTTCGGTATATAAAACCCTTAAATCGAAAGGAATTAAACAGATCATTCGTATTTACAGTTTGATTTTATTTATAATTCGTCACGCTGATCATATGCGGCAGTTTTCGTACCGGGATTTTCAGGGTCACGGCGACAAACGCTTCCCGTGATGGTCGCTAGATGGCAGTTATAACGATCACACGTCACCACCCTCCCCCTTCTCCTCCTCCTCTCTCTCTCTCTCCTATCCCCTACTCTCTTTCTTCTTCCTCGTTTCTTTAGCCCTTTCTGTCTTCTCTCCACGATTCTTCCTGTTATTTTCCTCTCTACTTCGCTTTCCTTCCACATTCCTTCTCTCTCTTTTTTCCCTTTCTTTGCCTGTCTCTCCCTCTCTCTCCTCTCTGTTTCCATTTCATATCCTCTCTTTCTCTTCCTTTCCCTCTTTCCTTCCTATTCCCACTCCTCTTTTTCTCCCTTCTATCCTAGCCCATCTCTCATCCTCTTTTTTCCCAATTCCTCTCTTCCTCCTTCCTCCCCCTCTCCTCTACTTCCATCTCTCTTCCATTTCCCCCCCCTTTTTCCTCCCCCTCCTCTCCCTACTTCCCTCTAGCTGTCCGCCGTCACTCACCTCAACCCCCCCCTCCCCCCCCCTTCCTTTCCCCCTTCCCCCTCCTTTCCCTTTCCCCTTCCCTCCCCCCTTCCCCCCCTGCCTGTCACCCATCCCCTGTCACCCTTCCCGTCCTTCTGGAACTGTCTTGTTTTTTGGTTAGATCTGTGATTGGTTGATTCTCTCTTCTCCTCTCTCTCTCTCTCTATATATATATGTATATATATATATATAGTATATATCTATATCTATCTATCTATCTATCTATATCTATCTAATCTATCTATCTATCTATCTGTATACACACACACACACACAAACATATATATATATATATATATATATATATATATATATATATATATTTATTTTATCTGTCTATTTCTATATGTGTATGTGGACGAGTAAGATAAAAATGAAAGGCAGAAATGAGAAAAGAAAGAGATAGAGAAAGAGAAACAAGAAAAGGGGAAGAGTAAATAAGTGAAAGAAGACAAGAGAAGAGAAAAGAGAAAGAAAAGACAATAAAAACAGAAAGAGAGAAGAAAAAAGAAAGAGAACAAAGACAAATAAATAAGTAAACAGAAGAGTATTAAAGGCCTATACCAACTTCATCACCATAAACATAGGCCTATAGAGAATGTGTCTGTTCGGGGGGGGGGGGGAGACGAATGATGGAGGGGATGCCAGTGAACCCGAAACTTGATTTGTTTATAATAATATTTTATCTTACCAATAAGATTTTTTTAAAAGGTATTTATCTAGGGGATTTTTTTATTGTTTTTATTTATTTGTTTATTCGTATATGTTTTTTTTTTCAGTGGAATGGGAAATAATAAAATTTAATAACATTTTCTTCTTCAGATGGACACCAACAAGAACAATAGACAAATTTTAAACTATTTATACTATTAATTGTGTGATATACATTAATATATATATATATATATATTGTAATTATTGATTTTTATTTGTTTGTTTATCTGTACTTTTAAGTTCAGTAGAATTAAAAGAAAAAGAAACATCTATTATGGGAGTGTGGTAAAGGGATTCATCTTGATTGGAGGCAGTGTGTGGGAACAAAATAAGAGAAAAAAAAGGTTGAGTTGACTTAAATTGTATTTTGCGGTTGTTAGCCTCCCCTGCCCCCTCCCCCTCCCCCGTCTTATTTGGACGGAGTGTTAGGCCTTTTTGTGATGGAGGTTGAGGTGGAAGAGAGAAGGAAGGAGAAGGAGGAAGTGGAGAGGGAGAAGGAGAGAGAGAGGAGATGGGGATGGCTGGATGGAAAGGGAGAAGGAGAGGGAGATGGGAAGAGGAGAGACGATGTAGGAGATGGATAGGGGAGGAAGAGAGTAGATGGAGGAGAGAGAGGGGAAGAAGAAGGAGAGGGAGATGGAGAGGGAGAGGGAGAGGA